TTTTTGCTTTGGGCCTCTAATTATCTGGAGTCGACCTGGTTTCACAATTTAGGTTCACATGGACCAGTTTGTCTCTCGATCTCTACTCTTAAACAAAATGAGTCCAACCTATTCCTTTGCATCAACTACTTGACCAAGGGGTTTTCAAATCTTTTTTTTTTTTTTTGGACATACCATGGGGTATTCAAATCGAGGGTAATTTTATGGGTTAATTACAATTTGTCCCCTTCAATTATATCTCTTGTCGCAATCAGCTCTCTAATAGTGGCTAAACACCTGAAAATCATCTTACATCCTCTATCTTATACATTATTTCTTATATTATTTTTTTTATGAGATACTAATTTTGTCCTTAAAAAAAAAGGAAACAGGAAAACCAAGACTAAAAAATAAGAAAATTTTCGCACCCCACCTCATCATAAGGAATTGAGGGTTTCTACCAGAACGGAGAAGAGAATGAGAGTTAAATGTCCGAGATAGGAGAGGATAGAAGGATGTAAGGGTAAAGGGGACGTATGGACGTTAGTAGAGGGAAAAAATAGGTGTAAAAGCAATTACCTCTTTTCAACAAAGTAGAGATCACATGAATTTGACATGTCTAACTTTTGTTAATTTTTATTGTCTGGAAATAACTATTGGAGTTAATTGCAAAATATTCAGACTTAAAGGAAGCTATTTGTTAAAATTAAAACCTAAGGGAGTGAATTGCAAACTACTCAAAGTTGAAGGGGGATATTTTGTAATTAACCCAAAGTTTATTTTAAATTTTGGTGTTTCTGAAGGAAAAGATGTGGGCATTCAGGAACAGGGTTTTGTTAATCAGCAAGAGTAGACCACTACCTTAAATATTATGGGAACAAAATGAAAATCTACAAGCAGAATTCAAATGTCAAACCAATTCCCAGAAGATATTCAAGGTGCCAGAATTTATTGAAGCCTCTCAAATTTCAAAACTTCTGGATCCCATCTCAGAAAAGTAATTGATAGCAAAAGTCGCCCCTATTTTGGAGAGTTTATGAATCGGAATTGAACCACAATGTATTATTTGAGTAGATAAGCACTTGTCATTGCTCAATATGTATGCCTAAGTATCATATTTTGAAAAACGAAAACACAAGAACAATTTGGAAAAATAAAATAAAATAGCATTCTAATATTAGGACTTTTGGCACTTTTTTTATATATAAAAACATATCAGTATTACAATAAATAATCACTATTATGGCAAAGGCATATATTTACACTTAGAGCAGATGAGACAGTATCCAAGATCTTATGAGCAATATACCTTTTGCTATAGTACTAATTGAATTATTCGACAGGTACATCTTTACCATGATGGGTACCCTAGAGCATGAAACTTTCGTCACTGCAGGTCCTATAGAGGGTTAATGTTGTTACAATTTCCCTCATGCCTAGTACATATGTCCATACTTAAACATTGACTCCTAATGCAAAGATACAATCATTGTTATCTGTATAATTGGGTTTTCTTATGAATTATCATTTACATTCCAACATACCTTAATATCTTCGGTATGTGTAGTACCTTGATTAACCTCTCAAATGGGGTAGAAGAAAGATCTTTGGACACCATGAATTTGTGCAAAACATTACCAAAGACATCATAAAATACGAAATCAGCTTGGGTTTGAGTCAGTTGCACAGACATAAAACCTTGTCCATCATAATACAACTTCATTTCCTCTGGGTTCCACCATTTAACACCACCCCTCCATGCCTTGGAGCCACCCCCACTTGTTAAAAAATGAATTTTACTGCACAAGAGACCAGTGACTTTAGATGATTCAAACAATGAACAAATAATACGAACAGCTCAGTATATGAGACTCTTGCGTATGCAACTTTCACGTACATGAGGAGAGACTATTTTTATGACTCGAACTTTATGATGCACAGAGCACCCTGAAACAAATATGTACGAACATTGTTGCAGCAATGCATTTTCATTACCTGTCTGTACTGCTGATATGCTGCAAGCAGTGATCGTGCCCATTCATGTAAATGTCTACATCATTTTCCTACAATGGTTGTAAAGCATTAGAATAGAACTTGTAATTCTGATTACTAGAGAAATCTTCCAAATGGAAACAAAGATTATTCTCAAAAAAAAAAAAAAATGTTAATGTCTTTGATATTATGAACTTCGATGTATGCGTTGCATATTACCTGAAGAATTGGGAGTAAATGCTGAACAAGCTCTTGGGTGACGCCATGTTCTCCAGCACTTTTGATTGTCTGGTGACCTACAACTATCTTCCATTTTGCACTAGAATTCCTTAATGCCAACTTCAAATCCTATTGCAAATTAAACAAAACAAAAAAACTGGGTTACTTTCTAAAAACATATTCTAGAAAATGAGGTTGTTTTGAAAGTATCAATTCCATTGCATTAAGAAAAATGAAGGGTAAATTACACTTTGAACTCCTGAACTATGTATTCGTTTTTACTTTGCCCCTTGAACTATTGAATTCTTTACACTGCCCCTCAAGTACTTGAATTATTTTACATTTTCTCATTCACAAACATCCGCCATCTTTTTGCACAGAAATTGAAAACATGTATAAGCAAAGAGAAAAATAAAATTGCATAGTTCAAGGGAAAAATAAAATAACTTTTCGTTAAATATGTAACAAATGTTAATAATTGAGGTGATGTGAAACTAAACAAATAGTTGATTGTATAATGTGAAAAATAACATAGTTGAGAGGGTAATGTGAAAAATACTCATAGTTGAGGGAGTTGAAGTGTAATTTATCCAAAAATAAATTATGCGATTTTTGGACCATTTATGTTACCTCCAAAAGATTCGACAGGTAAATATTCCGAGGCAATACTCCTTTCCAGTCGTAAGTATCATTCCCTGGGTCTGTAAAGTACTTATCCACAAATGGGGTTGTATCTACGAAGAAGAATTCCACAATTTCTGCCACCAAAAAAAAAAAAAGATGGAGACAGCACTCACGTATACGTTGGTGCATCTAACATTATAATATGTTAATGGCATTTTTGATCCTAGAGTATATACTTTTTGTTAGTTTAGTCCTCATTATATCAATTTTATTCCTAAAGTGTTAAATTTGTGTCACTTTGAACCGTACATAGACAGACCGTTAAATTTTCGATATAATGACCACGTGTTCGTGATGCTCATCATAATAAACAAGGTGAAGTTTGAAAAAACAAACAGAAAAATAGAAGGTTGAGGTCCTACAAGGTAGGTACCCACTACTTGGAGTACCCTCTCAAAAGGAAAATGATGTGTCTCTCAAATTCGTTTCTTCTTAGTTTGGTTGGGCGGGTTCAACCAGAAATGCTGCTATGCTTACACACAAGACTACCCCTCTTCCCGGAAGCTTCGCGGGGACTAAAAAGATGGTATTAAGCTCAATGAATTTACTCTTAAAAGCCATTTTCTGAAAAGTATCATAGTTTAGTAAATATGTTCAAAATTAATCTAGTTTTGTATGCTCCATTTACGGTAAGGGTGGATCCATTATAATTAAGTACTGATTTACAGCAATTTACCTGCATTAAGAATGAATGATCTCAAGCATAGCCACCTGCTATCCTTGTCCCTGAGGACTGCACTCAATTGTGCTTCAACATTTCCCCTATAGTCATGGTTTCCCAGAACTGTAACAATATAATTATAAATCAAAGTCAGTTGTATTTTTTTTTCTTCAAAATACAGCCATTAGAAGTCTCATATATCACTATTCTAATACAATCTGTATAAATCAAAAGTACCAAGGAAGAGCAGATTCAACTCTCAAATAAAAGTAAAATTTTAGTTACCCCCAACTGGTCAAAATCAGTTGTTTTTCAGTAGTAAAAATCTCATAAAGTTGGATACTTTCTATTTCAAATTTGTTAATTATCGTCATCTTTAATCATCCACGGTTAAATTTATCTGTAAATATTATTGTGTTTCTATGGAATCCATTGACACCTAGGACACCCAATAAATTTAACAATAGACGATTGTACTTCATCGGAGTTAATAGAATTTGAAACGAGAGAGATCCGGATCCCGGTTTGGTTTTAGGAAAGGATAAAAATTGTTCGATGGAATAAATGCCATGCACCCACAGAATTTTCCTTCTTGAATGATAGGTAAGAGCCAATTTTAGAGGCAACTATGAGAATTGGGTGATGAAAAATTTACCATTGTACCATTTCCTCTGCAAGCTCTTGGCAGTGTAGATAGTGGTAAAGGAGTCAGAAAATGCTGGATCGTTTATGCTTTTCAAACCATCTTCGTAGAAATTGTCACCAGTTGAGATAACAAAATCAATGTCCAGCTTCTCTCCAATCACTCCCATCTACAAAAATCATCAAAGACAAAATAGAAATTTAAAAAAGGTTATATTAATAAAATGCTACTGTATCTTGATCCACTAAGACATTTTTATTGGACGCGACTCATTTCTTTTACAAACTTAGAATTACCCTCGATAAATGTTATTCAATAAAGAGAAAGAGGGAGAAGGACAAAATTCTCTACACCCCGCTAGAGACCTATGAGGATTAAGTTCAAAATGAGATTAATTTTGTTCCCAAAAAAAAAAAAAAAGGAATAGGAGAATAATGTAGGTATTTTAAATATTAAGTAATTTAAATACTACTAGCGCTAATTTAAATCAGCTTCATGAATCATATACCTCCATTGTGCTCTATTAAGAATCATTTTTTAAAATTAATTTCTTCTGCAAACTAATATAAGATAATTACATCATTTCTCAAATATATGAAAACATTCTTATAAGTTTATCAAAATTCATTGGTGCCCATCGAAATTTACACTTAGTTGCTGATATCCTGAGTCCTTTTATTTTTGTAGCACTATGACCAACTTTAGGAGTAGTACTGTCATTACAAAATTTGAGGGTCATTCACAATTTGTGGACTATTTGCAATCGATCTCCAAGTAGCCCACAAAAGTTGTAACTTCAATCATAAATATTATAATATAATCTCAAAAATTATAATTTTTTTTTTTTGTGAAAAATGACCCTTAAATATTATAAAAACTCCCACAAAAAATATAAATTTTGGAGGTACATAACCAAAAAAAAAAAAATTTGGATACCATAATCTTCTCCATAACTTTAATATCTTATGATAGGACTGATAAAGAACCTGGAACATAAGCTTATCAACCTTTTTCTTTTATCAGGTTTAAAGTCACAAGGCACAATAGAATCAACTTGGAATATGCCCTGTACATTTCCCAAGCACAGTGCTTGTAGCTTTTTTTTTTTTTCTTTTTTTTGCTCATAAGTGCTTGTAGCTTAGATGACAGGCTAATTCAAGATGCTCTTCACAATTGGATCATTTTAGAATATGCTAGAGAATTTGGTACTCTGCAGATATATAAAGTTGGTTGTATAAAAATAAGCAATCTCTGGACTTTTTTGACAGTGACATGAGAAATTAGGGTAACCACATAAAAGATTTTATACACTTTAATGATTAAACAATCCCCCCCCCCCCCCCCCCCCCACCCCCACCCAAAAAAAAAAAAACCAAAAAAAGAAAAATAGATGAAGATGAATTACTTATCTTGCAAATTCTTTCCTTAGGAAATCCCCATACATTTGTTTAAGATCCTAACATAAAAATATCCATTCTATTCAAGCATTTTTGTATTTTTTTATTCATCATTCAAGCCGAACAACTTGATTATGTAGGAAAAGATTACGACACCGGCGGCAATACCACACCACAAATTATAATTTTTTAAAGTTAAGTTATAATTGTTTGTGATCAATCATGAAAGTTATAATTTTCGAAAGTTAAATTATAACTTTTAAATATCAAGTTATAATTCCTAGAAAACAATTTATAATTGCTTAAGAGATTTTCATGATCGGTTTACCCATGATCAATCATGGATTTTCCTCGACAATTGTAACTAGGGTTCATCTGGTGTTATGTTATTTCGGATTCATGTCGATTATTAGTCAATTTTAACTAAACCTCATTTAATTTTAATTAATTGTGTCGAGTCAAGTCCACTTATTTATTTTCATGTCGTGTTTCGTGTTAACACTTAGATTTAAGTCTAAAACCTAATTGTCACTTAATCGAATACATGTTCATACTTTTTCTATAAACTAAAAATTAATTTAATAAATAAAACAATAAAAATGAGTAAAAAAATCCTTTTTTTTTACAATAATTATGTCACTGCTTCATAAAATATAATAAAAATTAACATTTTAATTTTATAATACTAATTAAGCATATTAATCATGTCAATTTCGTATTATTCGCTTTGACACAAATCTAACCCATTTATTATTCATATTAAGAGGCCATGTCCTTTACGGATTCATGTCGAGAAATGGTCAATTTTAACCCACTAATTTTATGTCGATTTCTAGTCGTATTTTCGTGTCGAAATTGTCACCCCTTTGTTCTCATTTTAAAGGTGTAAACTTCCCATTAAAATTAGTAATTTTTAGTACAGTACCAATTTTTTCCCCATACTTTCCCGTTTATGTATGTTAGCTTAAGGGTGCAGAGCAGGGTTATACTACATAAATATAAATGTGCTTATTATAACTAATTTGAAGATTGAGAGGACAAAACCTTGAAGTAAAAGAGAGATAAAAGCACGGTTTGCTTGAAATTTAGAAGAATCCTCCAAAACCATCGGTGGGAAGAAAAGAATGAATGAACAAATGAAAGGAAAAGAATTTGGGAGAAAAACTTTAGAACCTGAATAGCAACTTCGGACTGGTTGTAAAGTCCTTGTCTTCCCCAATCTCCGACGACCAGAAAGCTAAGAGATCCATCGGCCTTCACAGGATGGTGAAAACGTGGAAGCTCAGCCGTTGAAAAAACTGAGCACCACCATAGACTCGCCGCAACAAGAAGACAGAAAAATAAAGGTTTTTCGAAGAAGGTGCCCATGGCTGAGGAGAGAGATTGGAAAAAGAAAAAAGAAAATCAGCTTTGTTTTGTTATGGTTTCAGGACTTGAAGTCAAGATTGGTGTGTTGTTTAATAACTCCTACTAAAGAACAAGGAGGCATATTGGGCAGTGAAGACTCAAAAAGGTGTCTGTATATATGGAAACTTTTCTTCTACGCATATGTGAACTAATACTGAGTGTTTGGTCCTCAGTTGGGGTGACAATAAAGAAAGAGATTGTTCCTTTTCCTGTCCTTTTGCCCTTGCTTTTGTGACCCTGATTAGTGATAAAAGTGGTGGATTGGATTGATTTATGCGTGTAATAATATACTTTTCAGTTTCGATGATGAGGTTATAATGATTCGATATTAAGTATCAAAAATGCAATAACTTTATTGTTATCGTAAATTTAGAGTCATACCTTCATATAAAAAGTTAAACATTATGTAAATTTGTATCCTCAATTTTTGTTGTATAATTTTGATTTTAATACCATACACTATTACTTAATCCAAACATAAATTTTTGTATTATAATTATAGATTTGTATATTATTCCAACCTTGATCTAAACTTATTATACAAGAATAAGATTAAATAGTACTCTTGTTAACATTATTTGATTGATTGGATGGAAATTAATTATCCAATCATATAATTTATTTGTACTTAGAACCAAATATGCAATGCACTAAGGACCTTAAAACATTCAAGTTCAAGTATTATAAATTTTGTTAATATTAAGGCAGAATTTTTATTAAAATAGTAATATTAGTTTTATTAGCCTAATTGTTGAGAAACTTAGTCGAGATCATTCTCCATCTTATTGAAAAATTGTTATTAAAATATTTTTGGAGTAGCTACTAAGTTATGTAAAGATGGTTGAGAGCAAGTAGAGAATTGTTTCTGAAAAATATGAAACAAGTAGAGAAATGTTTTACATAATTCAAAATTTGTGCTTCGGTTTTGGAGGGTTAATGGACTACAAACTAGCTAAAAAAAAAAATAAGGGTTAATTGCGCGAGAGGTTCTAAAAGTATAGAGTTTGTCTCATTTTAATTTTTAATATTTTAATTACATTATTTTGGTCACTAAAGTATTAAATATGTTTTTAATGGTCCCTCAAGCAAATAACGTCCAGATTGCTAACGATTTTTTTATCATAAATTTGTCACGTAATACATACATATAGATAAAAAAATAACTTGGATAACTCTTGACCAAATTTTCATTAAATAGCTATCCAAATTATACAATTTTGATCATGAGTTATTCCAATTTTGGTCAAAAGTTACTCTTATTACACATTTTTTGTCAAAAGCTACCCAAATTTTATTTAAGAGTTATCAAAAATATTTTTTGTCCATTAGGTATTATGTGATAAGTTTATATTCAAAAATCGTTAGTAATCTGAATGTTGTCTGCTTGAAAGATCATATAGAAATATTTTCAATTCTTCAAAGATTAAAATAATACAATTGAAATATTAAGGACCAAAATGAGATAAACTCCATATTTTAAAGACCTATAATACAATTAACCCAAAAATCAAAGACCACTATAGAAATTTTCAAAAATGACGAGGGGATATAATATCAAAATGAACAAAATTATGGCCCCAAACGATTAAATATAAAGAGGTGCCCCAAAAATTGTTGGTACAGTAGTTTTTGTGATGAAAGAACAAGATGGTAGAATGCCTCCTGAAGCATTACCATGGCGGTTTCTTTAAGATAGTATTTGTTCTCACCAATTTTGAAAAGAACAATGATATCTTGTGGTCAAAGGTTCAAATTCTTCTCTCTTTTCCCCTTCCCTTCCCCCTCCCCAAAAGAAGAATTTGTAGCTTTAGGTTTTGCTTGCCAAATGGATCCCTGTGCAAAATACTTTGCCTTGAGAATCTGCGCCCATAGTGTTCCTGGGTCTTGTATCATCCTCTAGATTTGCTTTGCAAGCATTGCTTTATTGAAGCTTTCCAAATCTCTGAAGCCCAAAACTCCCTCCTTTTTCCCTTAGTTATGTGCTTCCAGTTTCTCCAGTGTATCCCTCTTTCCCCTGTTGACTTGCTCCACCAGAATCTTCTAATACCTGTAATTATTTCTTGGCAAAAACTTTTAGGTAACATGAATATAGACATAGCATAATTAGGTCTTGCCTGCACCACAACCTTAATCAGGACCTCTCTGCCTGCATGATTCAGAAAGCTTTCCTTCCATCTTGCTATCTTGTTCATTATCCTATCTTTCAGCCGAACAAACACTTGACTCTTTGGTCTTCCCCACTCCGTCGGTAGTCCTAGGTATTTACCTGTTTTCAGCAATACAAGTATCCTAAGCTCTGTTGCCATCTCCTATTGCACATAGACTGGGGTATTTCTGCTAAAAGTCACTCCAAACTTATTTAAGTTCACTAACTGACCAGTAGCATAGCAACAATGATTCGGTATGTCCATTACTACCTGGCATTGAGCCCTAGTAGTAGTGGAGAAGAATAATGAATTGTCAGCAAATAGTTGGTGAGACTAACAGGGAGCACTCCTATTGATCTTCAGTCCTGTGAGGGACCCATTAACCTTGGCTCTTTGCATCAAGGCTGTAAGACATTCAGAGATCAGAATAAATAGGTAAGGTGAGAGGGGGTCCCCTTGCCTCAACCCCCTAGTTGGTGTAATTCTTATTGTTTTTTCCCCATTCACTAGAATATTATACCTCACAATTGTTACACATTGCATCACTAGAGACACCCAACTGTGCTCAAACCCCATTGTGAGGAGCATGTCCCTTAAGGGTCTATTAATAAATGCATTCTGTTTCTTTTCATTTTTCAATGTGAAATTGTCGTCAAGGCTTTTCATAATCTTCTATAAAAACTATCATTACTCCATTTTAAAATCCACCAAAGTACATAGTAAATATAACTACAATTTTGAAAAAAAAATTCAACAAAATCAGGTGGGCAAGTACCCCCTAGTCCGAAGGTGGCACCGGCTTTGAATGCAAGTGACAATTTTCAACAGAAGACATCCAAAGTGTTGTGTTACCGTAACCTTTTAGACTTTCACGTTAACCAAGTTGAAAATAATTCTCTCTCTCTCTCTCTCTCTCTCTCTCTCTCTCTCTCAGTACAGCCATTTAAGTATGTATTTCATCTCAATTTGATTTCTATTTTTCAAATTTAATCTCTAAATGTTTAAATTTGTATTTAAATAATCTAATCAAAGACACTCATTAAAATTGGGTAATGGAAATGACCATGTGTATCTCATGTATACAAATAGGATGCTATTAACGACACTTGGAATTTACTAACAGAGATCATCACATGCATCTCATGTGATCACACTTGAGATACATTCTTTGAAAATTTTACGAACTAAAGTGATACAAACTGTAAACTTGAAGTAACAAAATGATATAAGTTACACATTTGAGGAAACAAAAAAGTGACGCCTCAAGTGTAGTCACGGAGCCATCTCCGTTAATCAATTCAAAATGTCGTTTTAATTGAACTAAATTGACACAATTTAAGAAGTTGAGGGATCAAATTAACACAATTCAAAGATTGGGAACTAAACCAACACAAAACGCAAACTTCAAAGACTATCAATATATTTTACCCAAAGAAATTGAAGTATCACTTGCTCAATTTATAGAACAATGATCTATTGTTTTGTCTAAAATCGGTGGTCTTGTGCAGATTCAAGCCCTAGAGCCTATCTATTATTTTAGTTAGTGTCATGCCCCCTCTTGCATTCGGTGTGTGAACTACAATTTCATCAATTTCACCCAATACAGAGTACTAAAACCTCAACATTTATCTTCAAATATTAAAAATAATTACACCCATTAAAATTGCCAACTATTGAAACCATTACAGTAAATAAATAATAATATTCTTGGATCCTCAACTGATTCGATTCTTTAGGGCCTTTCATCGATCATCTATCGAACTTCATCTGAGAGGGGTAAATGGGGGTGAACTTGGGTGGCCCAATAAGCAATTTAAAATAAAATATACGAATTACAAGGTCACTTCAGTCCCAACCTCTTAACACAGATCTGATAGTAGATAGTTGTATGGCGTATGTATTCCAAAGTTTGTCTTTAAAAAGGCAAATTGATGGCATAGGGTCAGAAGGGAGGCATGTAAAAGTCAGAAGGGAAGATGGGTATCTAGTCTTACTTCCAAATGAGCCAGACACCCATCAAGTTGTATACGGACTGGATATGAGGGAAGAAGATGAACTGGATGTAATACAGGAGGATGTAGGACAGCTTACCTCTGGTTATTCGCCAACACATAGATTAGTTCAAAAGTTCAGACGGAGAAAATCAATCAAAAAAGTGCAAGGAGGTGAGATTGAGAAACTACATAAGGTAAGTGTTGAATGGACTGAGGAGGTTTCTAAAATGGTTGAGGAGGCGGGCCTTACCATGCCCCCATTTGAGCCATGAAGCCAATAGCTTGGAACTGCTAGGGATTGAGGACATCCTTGACAATCCTAGCGCTGAAGGACCTGTGTGTCCTTCATAAGCCCCAATTGGTGTCTAAGTGAGACAAAAATGAAAAGTTATAGAGTAGAAAGAATAGGGAGAGAACTGCAATTTGATAAAAAGGTTGGGGTGGATCCGATAGGCCTGTCTAGGGGTTTGAATATAATGTGGAAGCAAGAGGCAAAGATTGAAGTGAACAGCTATAGTCAATATCCGATAGATGTGACAGTTAAAGCACCGAAGGATGAAGGCCCATGGCATCTAAGTTTTATATATGATCATCCAGACTATGATATTCAATGCAGGCAATGGAACATATTGGGGGCATATGGAAGAAGTGTAGAACTACCATAGCTTTGTATGGGAGACTTCAATGATATAGTCTGTGTAGGGGAAAAGGAATGTACTAGAGAAATAGCAGTGAGGAAAATTATTTCTTTTAGAGCTTTCTTGGATAACAGTAACTTGATGGAACCCAAAAGCAAAGGGTGCAAGTTTGCGTGGGATAACTACAGGAATGGGAACGCAAATGTCAAGGAAAGATTGGATAGAACAGTGACATTACTGGGTTGGAGAATCTAATTTTTAAATGCCATAGTATTTGCATATCCTCCAGTGGAGTCTGACCACTCCCCTTTGGTGGTGGACACAGAACCAATAGCAGAAAAGTCAAAATGATATTTCAGGTTTGAAGCATACTGGGAAGATGAAGAGAAATGTGTTGAAGTGGTAAAACATGGTTGGGGTACCTCAGTGAGGGGATAAAAAATGTACAGACTAAAGCAAACGTTGAAATGTTGCAGTAAGGAGCTAGCAAAGTGGAGTTCCTCACATTTCTAGAATAGTAGAAAGAGTATTGAAAGCCTCAAAGCAAAACTGGTTCATTTGCAGAAACACAAACCCACAGATACAACACGAGGATATGAGGAGGGTGAAAATAGAAATGGGGAATATGTCGAGAAGGGAATAAAAATTGGGCCAGCGTTCCATGTCAAAGTGTATTAAATGGGGAGACAGAAATACAAAATTCTTCCACACAACTACCGTGCAGATACAGCAGAGAAATAGGATTATCATGCTCAAGAATTAATTTTTTTTTTTTTCATGCTCAAGAATTCATAGGGGAAATGGGTGACAGAGAAAGAACAATTGCTACAGTTGATTCAAGACCATTTCCAAGGATTGTACAAAATAGAGGGAGTTAGGAATTATGACTATATCTTGCAGGGGATCCCACAAAAGGTCACTCAACAAATGAATAGGTGCCTCCTGCAACAACCATCAACAGAGGAGATAAAATCAGTTGTATTCAGTTTGGGGGCCATGAAGGCACTGGGCCTGATTGACTACCTGGGTTATTCTATCAGAAGTATTGGGAAACTATCAAGGGAGAGGTATGTGCTGCTGCCCAATCCTTTTTCCATTCAGGTTTTATGTTGAAAGAATTAAATGAAACCAATATAGCCCGTGTCCCAAAAGTTGCAAATCCTGATGAAATTGGAGAATATAGACCTATAAGTTGTACTAATTAAGCCTCCAAGATTATTTCAAAGTTGTTAGCAACCAGGCTCAAACCATATATGAATACTCTGGTATCACAGAACCAAAGTGCTTTTGTTGGGGAAAGACAAATTTAGGATAACATAATTGTTGCTCAGGAGGTTATGCATTCCATGAGACAGAAAGAAAACTAAGAAATACCACATGGAAATCAAATTGGATATGGCCACAGCCTATGATAGGATTGAATGGGATTTTTTTGAGGGATCTGCTAGTGAGAATGGGGTTTGACCAATGGTGGGTGGGTATTATAATGCAATGTGTATCAACTGTGCGATATAATGCCTTGGTAAATGGAGAAAGGGCAATTCAAATCACACCAACTAGCTAGCTATCTCAAGATCCAACATATGCAGAAAATTGGGAAATATTTGGGACTGCCCAGAGAGTGGGGAAGATCAAAAAAATAAACACAGGGATGGCTAAAGGAGAAGATTTTAAACAAGATGGCTGGGAAAGAAGTGCTTATAAAAGCAATGGTTCAGGCCATACCAGCGTATGCTATTTCTCTGTTTAAATTTCCAAAATCCTTTTGTCATGAAATAACTGCAAGCTTCAAGAGGTTCTGGTGGAGTAAGTCCTCGGGAGAAAGAGGCATTTATTGTAAGAGCTGGGAAACTTTGACAAGAAGGAAAATGGAAGGTGGCCTGAGGTTCAGAGATTTGGAGAACTTTAATATAGCTATGCTGGCAAAGCAGTCATTGAGGCTTGTATAAAATCCAGAATCTCTATGGTCGAAGGTCCTGAAAGCAAAGCATTTTAATAACGGGAATGTGTGGGATGTGAAAGCAAGACCTAACAATTCATGGATCTGGAAGGATATAATGGAAGGAAAACAACTATTGGTAAAGGGAGGTCTATGGAAAATTGGAGAAGGGAATCAGATAAGAGTGTGGGAGGATGTATGGATCCCAGGATGTGGAAATGTCCCAAATATGATGCAAAGTAGAATTAACAGAGTGCAAGAGCTTACTGACAGTCCCAAAGAAGGCGGAACAGATCAATGGTGCAGCAGAGTTTCCCTGAAGATGTTGCCAAGAAAGTGTTAGATATACCCATCTATGAGACTCCACAACAAGACAGATTTCAATGGGCCCATAAACATACGGGTCTGTATACAGTTAGAAGTGGGTATCATCTGCTTAATCAGAATGTAAGCAATACTCAGCAGAAGGTTGCACCGTCTTCTTTTTTTCAAGTCCCGGAAGGTTTATGGAAAGTGATATGGAACCTAAAGGCAATACCAAAGGTTAAATCTTTCCTGTGGAAAGTGGTACATGAAGCTATAGCTATGAAGTGGGCCATGTGGAAAAGGAAGATAGCAAGTAGTCCGATATGCCATGTATGTGGGGGAAGAAGAGACTCTTGAGCATCTATTTTTGTTATGCCCTTGGGTAACACAGGTGTTACAGTTCTCCCCTCTACAAATCAACATTGTCATATGTAAAATTAGAAGGATTAAGGAGTGGCTATTTGATACTATGCAAAAGGTGAAAAAGTTTGGTAAGAAAGATGGGGAGGGTGAATCTATACTAGCTTATATGTGCTGGTTCATCTGGAAAGCACGTAATTGTTGGATCTATCAACACCAGAAACCAAGCAGTAAGGGAGCAATCAATCAAGCTCTTAAGACAGTCTCTGAATATAAGCTAAATATGGAATCTCTGGAGCGGAGTGATAATAGTGCAATCATGAATACACAGTGGTGTGCCCCTCCTCCGCCGTTTCCCTCCCTCTAAACTCCAGCCCGAAGCCGAAAATAAGGAATTGTGAATTTAGAAACGAATTGGGTTTGAATTTCGGTTTTAGTGTGTCATTGGGATCGTGAAAATCATGGATGATTAATTGCTGGTTAGAACTGGTTGTGTTTGTCGATGGTGGGGGTGACCGTTGCTGTGGTGGTGGTGGTGGCGGTATAGATGATGCTGCTGTAGTGGTGGCAGTGTTGTAGAGAAGAAAGTTCAGACGGGAGGGAGGCGATTTGGATTGTTTAATGGGTGGTGGTGGTTGGCGTTGCTGTGGAGGTTAATGCAGTGCGGTGGTAGCGGTCTGTGGAATAGAAAGAGGCTGCTGGAAGAAGCGCAAGAAGGAAGGGAGGGGGATTTGGATGGGTTTGTGGGTGGTGGTGGCACCACGGTTGGCGATTCTGTGCAGGCGATGGCGGTGACGGTTGGAAGGGGTTTTGACCAAAGTTTATTGTAAATTCATTGGGTAAAATTAATTAAAATTCAAACTATAACTAAAAATAAATAATTATCCATAAAGATCATAATTTTAAAATTAACTAACTTTGTATCATTTAATTTCCAATAATCTATAAATTGTAATTATAATTGTCAAAATTTTATTTAATGTATATTTAATTTAAAAAGATTAGTGTGAAGAGAGGGTGAATTTGTCTTTTTTAATTATTATTATTATGCGGTCATTTAATAAATAATTTTTTGAGTTATAATTCCGGTAGTTATTAATTATCAAAATAATTTAGTTGAGGAAATAAAGAGAAATATATATATATATATATATATTTGAATAATTATTTAATGAAATTTAATTAATAAGTGATGATCAATTATATAAAATTTGAAATATTAATTAAGAAAAAAAAATAATATTTTTAAAATGAACAGAAAGTGTAGAATTTATATTTTAAACATAAATTTAGCATTATGGTCCTCACTTTAACAAAATGAGGGTATTATGGCAATTATAAGAAAATTTCTTAATGATATCAGCATTTTTCGTAACTTTTCCTAACTTTGTCAAGTGGGGGGAATCTACATCCTAAACGTTTCAAATGTCAAGGGTTTCAGTATAATTTTGGAAATGTGAAGGGCTGCCCATATAATAACATTAAATGTTAAGGAGTCTAAATGTAATTTATCCTATTTAAATTTTTTGAAAATAAATTTCCATTTTTTTTACTTCTTTTTCATTTATTTTTGAAATATTTTTGAAACGTTTTTATTTTGTAAATGGCTAAAAAAAATTTGATCCTTGTTATCTAATGCATAAAGAAAAGTCCACAATATTAAAAAAGTCATAAAATTTTTTGGGGTATTCGGTTATTAACATTTTGGGGTTGTGATCAATCCTAACAATTTATGACCGATTCTAACATGTAGGACCGATCACAAACACCCTAAAATGTTGTAAATAACTCTTAAGAGTATGTAACTTAACCTTAAAAATTATATTTTGCTTTTAAGATTGATCCTAAAACATTAAAAAATCAATCTTAAGTTATTTGTTATAACTTAAGGTCGTATTTGGTTACAAACTTACAACCTTGTCGGGAAAATTAGTTTCATAGAAACCAAAAAAAATGTTCATTACAAACTCTTAACCTTATAAAAAAAAACCTCTTAACCAATTAAAACTTTCAATGAAACATGAGTTAACAGGTAAATTGAGAACGAGTTCATTGCCTAATACGAGTTCAAATAACAAGAGAACAAAAAGGGGACAGAAAGCAAAGGGCTTCAAAGAGAACTGATTTGTTACTCCTCTCTGCCCTCTGTGTGAGAAGTGTAGTCTCAATTTTTCGCCGCTCTTTACAGTTTGCTTGAAACTCGTTGCAGTTTGCAGCCTACCCTTTTCAGAAAAGGATACAACTGACCCCCCCTCCCCCTCCCCCTCCCCCTCCCCCTTTCCTCTTTCTAAACTGCTCCAGCCAGTTTGCCAGCCGTCATTGAATCAACACTTCAGTGCTGCTCTTCCCTCATCGTCAATCTTTCCCCCCGCCAGTTCCATCGATGCTTTCATTGCACTCTTGCCCTTTTACTGTTCCATTTGTATTAACTTCTGGAGAGGCACTGTTGTTACCATTTGGTTTCCCTGTACCATTGGCCTTTTCTGACAGGGATGGTGTCTCCACAGAAATGCTTCCGGTTGCTGTACTAGACAATAAAGATTGGGTTGACGAATTGCCAGAACCAGGTGGAGGAAGGAAAACTCCAGTGCCAGGGACTGGTGAGCGAGGTGGAGGATGCCTTAGCGGAGCTGCAGGCCATCCAGCTGAGGCTGGTGGAAGAGCTACTTGTGCAGGAAAAGACAAGGCTGGTGCAACTGCGGTGGGAACAAAAATTGGCTGTATGCCATTTGTAGGTGAAAACTGTGGACGAGCAGCTGGAGCTGGCAATACTCCTGTTGCCGGGATTGGCCCATAATGCTTGGGGCCCACATGATGGCGTATATGATTTGGTGACCTACTAGGAGGTGAGACCCAATGGGAGGGTGATGCTACTGCAGGTGAAGGAAAACGCTGAACATCACTAGGTGTGATTTTCTTTGGTTGTGACTTTGACAAGGTAACAAGTATGCGTTGTTTTCGGATCGAGGGAAGTGCATGTCTGGCAAAATCTGTGGATCTTCCTTGCATTACAAGCATAGATCTGCATTTTCATGGTGAGAAAATAAGGTGATGGAGGGAGCTGGGAACATTGACGCAGTAGTTTTGAAATATGAGATACGAGCAAATAGTCGGGCATGATTGAGTTAAAAAGTAAGAGTTTCTCAGTGATCAACAAAGAAACTATGCTCGAAAATATGGCATTCCTTAATTTTGATCCCATTATAGCTTGTCTGGGAAGTCTTTCTGCTTCATGCACCCCAATATTGTCAAAGTGCATATTAACCCTTGTGAAAAAGCTTCTTAAAAACCAAAATAGCTGAGAATAATTCATGTGTGTGTGAGAGAGAGGGAGTACCCGGGTGCAAGAGAAAGCTCCAAAGAGCCTCTATAATCCCCAGGATAGTCTGCCCCAATTACTTTACCAAAAGTCACATCACACTCGGTCAAGAACAGCACACACACAGGCCTTCCATACCAATGTGGCCACATGTGAGGTTGTGAGTGGTCACCCTACAAATATAAGGCACAATATTAGCTGCCTGGTCAAATGAACAATTTGCAAAACCTTAAACAGCAATACTGTCATTAGCAACCTCATTGAAGATGTCAATAGTGCAAGAGTCTGGCGTTGCAGTAACAATCTGCATAGCAATTAAGCGTTCGATCACTTCCTCCAGTAAGCCAGGGATGGGTTCGATGCTCCGATCTGCAAAATCCAGAAAAAATCCCAGAAAACCGCATTTAAGAGAAAGCCTTATATTTCCTTTCATAAAAAATAAAAACAGCAAAAGATATATTATTCCAGTGTTTGGCTCATAAGAAGAGCTCTTTAAAATTATGAGCATGCCTTTGGAGGTACCTGTTGCAATTTCATCTTGAATAGGTGCATCTGCAATGGGGTGGCCCAATTGAATCATCTCTCTTCCGTGCCCTTTCATTGGTCTCTTTGACACAACAAATGTCTGCCCTGCTTCTCGTCAAACAACATTCAAAATTATTGCTAACACTTAAATGCAGGGGGCCAAACTCAAAGAACAAAAACACTAGTTCATGACGCTAAAATAGTAATCACAAAAGAAAATCAATGTAGCAAAAGAATTTAAATTCAAAATAAGCACCTCATTTCAAAGCTCCCATTCATGCCCACACTCACGGAATTTGCAATATTTAAGGACAAATAGGAAATGACTAATTTAACATACTTTCTCAGAGCCATATGACTAGCCAGATGCAGGATGTTACATGCAATTTAACCTGTAGTTCACATAAAGAAGACATCCCTCACAAGTCCCCTCTGTAAGATATATTGAAGTTCCACCTTAATCCACAAGCAATAATGTAAATGCAGTCATCACAACAATAAATAAATTTAAAAGCAACTGACCCCATAAACAGGTTTTAAAGTTTCTTTTGTACGAGAGAACTTTACATATTTGACCTGTGCTGTAGGGTGAACTATTCACCAATAACTCAATATACCCCAAAAGCTGGAGTCAATTCAAGTCGGTGCTGCATAGAATTATTTCCTATGTGGCTACGTCACTATATAACTAGAATTAAACCCACATTAACCATCACAATCAGGGTCAATATGCCACTTCTACCAAGGACGCACAGCAAGCAGCAACCAGCTGCAAAACTGAATAGAATTTAGTGTAGCTATATATCCACATTAAAAATTTTACTTTACTCTTAAGTTATAATGACACCCCCTGACCTTAACCTATCTGGTCACCCTTGACATTTCCTGATTTCCATGTCACTGGAAACTCGAACCAAAACTTCTAAAGAGAAATCACCTATTTGCTCTCTGAAATTAAACTTAGCCTTAAAAATTAAATCAAAATTGGGCAAATAACAGAAAATTATGAGAAAGAGAAATCATCTTCCCCCAACCCCCGATCCCTTTCTACAAAGCCCCCATCTAATGCCAAATCCCTTCTTGGGTATCTTGGGCCCCCACAAACCCCCGCCCTCATAGACTAGCCAACCCCACAAACCCCCTCCCTTGTAGACTAGCCAATGTTCTTCAAGCTGACAATGCCCTTAAATATATCCAATCATTTATGAAAATTTTTTGTGTCGAGCGTGGAATTGTCCATCAAACTACTTGTCTACATACATCCTAACAAAAATGGTACTGCCGAACGTAAACATTAGTATTTGTTTTGGGCTGATATTGTTCTTATTTCTATTTTTCTTATTGGTTCTAGCTGTTAAATAGAAATAAGAAAAACATCAGCCCAAATACAAACACCGGTGTTAAGTTCGGCAATACTATTTTGTTAGGATGTATGTGGACAAGTAGTTTGACGGACATTTCCACAGTCAACACAAAAAAATTTCATAAATGATTACATCAACTCTTTTCTTCTTCCTCCATTTTGAACAACAAGTATTTTCTCCTTACTATATCTGAATACATTGCATCAATCTAACCCCTTGTGTCTTTGGTTGTGTTATATTTTTCCATCTGATTGGTTCTAGTTGCAATAAACTATCAATTCAATCAGTCAATTGTATCTCTCTAGGATATTCCGATACTCAAAAAGGTTTTGGCTGCGATAACTATTGCCTTGCTCAATTAAGTGCATCTTTCTAAGATATTTTGGTATTCAAAAGGTTATCAGTGTTAGGATCACGTCTTTCATTGTTACCATGTCAGTATCGATGTTACCTTCTTTAAGTTATCTTCCTTTTTTTTGTGCCACGTCACAATCTTAGTGTAGATTTAGTATCTCCTAATGAGGGGGAGCTTTTGTTGCCTACTATCTCAGACAATATGCATTCTCCTCCAACAACAACGGCTCCTCCACTTAGGTTTACCATCGCTCCATGGATAGACAGGTTATGCCCTATACTCTAGCTCCATAGGCCACAACGACTTCTACTGAGATCCAACCTCCTAAGCCATATGTTCCTCTATTGTCGTCTGATCTACCCATAGCATTACGGAAAGGTATTCGTAGATGTACACATCCTTTTCTACTTTTGTCTTATTTCTTTAGTTTTCTCCATATTTTCGTCGTTTGTATCATTATTATCTTTTGTGTCTATTTTTAATCTTTCAAACAGGTCTTATCATCTCCTGAATGGAAAGTGACGATGGATGAAGAAATGATAGCTCTTCAGAAGAATGAGACAAGGTATCTCGCTCCATTGATTCCCAGTAAACAACCTATTAGTTCTCGTTACATGTGTAATGCCAAGTATCTTTTTGATGGTTCTATAAAGTGCTTAAAGGTGCAATAGGTAGCCAAGATGTGGTGATTTCGGATGGTGAGGAAGATAATAATGTAGAAGTTGCTGAAGATTTGGGTGCAAATTGTGAAGAGGTATCCTCTATCCCAGTTATTTTGACCAATAGTATCTCTGGTATGAATATTAATAATGAGAGGGAATGTATTGAAAGTGATGGGGTGGGATTTGTTGAGCCTGTTAATAAGGTGATTTGTCAGATTAATAATGATGAATATGATGCTGCTTTGGAGAATCTGGGTGAGTGTAGGATTATGCTTGCTCCATCCAAGGGTTCTTCATTTCTTGTGGATCATCAATTCAATGTTAGAAAGGACTATGATGGTCCTTTGGATGATCAGTTGGGATTGGTGAGTGAAAGAGTTCCTCCTGATAAAGGGTACTACTCTGATCAGGGTAGTTCTCACACTATGGGTTCTGATAACACTGTTAATGAGGTAGATGAAGGTACTAGATTAATTTCTAGTGGGAAGTTTCCTTCTATTAATATATGATCAATCTGATTTCATGGAACATGAGAGGAGTAGGTAAGGAGTCTAAGAGAAGAAGGTTGAAGAAAATGATTAACATGAATGATGTTTGTTTGGTTGCAATACAGGAACCTAAATTGTAAGTTTCTAAACTCCCAGTTTTTGCAAGAAATATTGGTTTAGCTCATATTTGCTTTAATGCTCTTGCTAAGAGGAATATATGGCTTTTATGGGATGACAGAGTCAAGGTGAAAATCTTGTTTTCTCATGAACAAGTCTTGACTGTAGAATTTTCTTTTAAAGATTTTGAGGTTTTTTGGACCTCAGTTGTTTATGCTAGCTGTGATCACAGTGTGAGGAGATTATTATTATGGCAGCATTTGGTAGATATTGATATTTCATCTCATATACCTTGGTTGGTGGTGGGGGATTGTAATTCTATACTAAGTTCAGAGGAGAGGAAAGGGGGTGCTCATCCTTCCCTTATAGCTATGGAGGATTTTGCTAATTTCCTGGATCATAGAGGTCTAAGGGATTGTGGTTTTAGTGGAAGCACATACACTTGGTGTGATAATCGAATGTTACAAAGGTTGGATAGGGCCTTGGTTAATGGGGCTTGGGATTTGAGATTTGATAATGTGGAGGTGGTACATTTGGCTAGGGGGACCTCTGACCATAATCCATTGTTAATTAAAATAATGGATTGTCCAGTTCAGAAGAGGATTTCATACTTCAAGTTCCAAGATATGTGTTGTGAGCATGAGGGGTTTTTCAATCTGATTGCTTCTCATTGGGGAGGTGATTATTCTGAGAATCCTGTTTCTAATTTGTTCATTAGATTGAAATATCTGAAGGCTCATATGAAGTTATGGAATAAGGAGGTTTTTGGGAATGTGTTTGATAATATAAGAAATCAGGAGAAGAAAATTCAATTGGTAGAGAAGGATTTCGATCAGGAATTTACTCTTGATAAATCCTTGGAGCTTGAAGGGTTAAAGAAAGAGTTAGATGAATTTTTAAGGAGGGAGGAGATTTTCTGGAAATAGAAGGCCAATATTAAGTGGGCATTGGAGGGGGAAAGAAATACTAATTTCTTTCATGCTATTGCTAAGAGCAAGGCAGTTAGAAATAAGGTTTCTAGAATTAAAGATGAGGAAGGTTCATGGGTGTATGGTGATCAGGAGATAGCTGGGGTAGCTGAGAGGTTTTATACTAAGTTGTATCAGTCAGAAGAACATGTTATACAAGAGGAGAATTTTGAGGTGATTCCTGAATTGGTGAGAAACCTAGTAAATGAAAGGTTAGTAGCTGAAGCCTCCATGGATGAAGTGAAGAATGTGGTGTCTTCTATGGCAATTGGGAGTGCTCCGGGGCCTGATGGCTTGTCTGGTAAATTTTATCAATTTGCTTGGGAGATTATTAAGTGGGATGTGTGGAAGGCAATTAATTTTCTGTTGAAAGGGGGAGAGGTTCCTAAATCTGTGAATTCTACTCTATTAGTGTTGATTCCCAAGAAAGATGCTCCTTTAACCTTTTCTGATTTCAAGCCTATCAGCTTATGCAATTTTTTGTATAAGATTTTCACTAAGCTGATTACAACTAGGCTTGCTCCTTTACTTCCTGTTTTGGTCTCTGAGGAGCAACATGGGTTTGTGAAAGGAAGAGGCATTGGGGATTGTGTTTCTCTGGGTCAATTGTTGGTAGGAGAACTGGATAGAAAGGTGGAGGGGGGAAATTTGGTGGTGCAGCGGGATATGATGAAGACATATGACAGGATTGAATAGAATTTTTTGTGGAAGGTTTTAGCTAAATTTGGCTGTTCTAGTTTATTCATTCAGATTGTGTCTACCTGTCTGACGAATCAGTATTTCACTATTTGTTTGAATGGATTTAGATATGGCTTCTTCTCTAATTCTAGGGGATTGAGGCAAGGGGACCCTCTTTCTCCTTCTTTATTCATTCTTGCTGAGGAGGTGTTGAGCAGGGGATTAAGGAGCATCTATCAGAGGCAGTTGGTTACTCATTTTTATATGGGTAGAGAGACTACTTTGGTGATTCACCTGCTTTTTGCAGATGATACGTTGCTTTTTCTCAGGGGGAATAAGAAGTCAGTAGTAAATGTCATGAAGTTTATTGGATGGTATGAGAGCTGTTCTGGCAGAAGATTAATAAAGGTAAGAGTTCTATGTATTGTTCTAGTAGAATTCCTTTGGCAAGGATGTAATGGGAATACCTATTAAG